CCCAGTGGAGGGAGAACATGTCGCAATACCAGCGAGCACACAGCGAACGGGAGGAGAGGTGGCGGCAGGAAGACCAGCAGGCGACTCAAACGCTGCTTGGACTAATGAGGGAGCAAACTGACACGCTCCGGCGCCTTGTGGATGTTCTGCAGGACCGGAGGCAGGAGGACAGAGCTCCGCTGCAGTCTATCTGTAACCACCCTCCCCCGCCACAAAGTCCCATACCCCCCTCACCCAAAGTACAAAGAAGGAGGGGCGGCAGAGTCCGTGAAAACTGTCACTCCACCCCTGCAGACTGCTCAAGTACCAGAAGGCTCTCATTCCGCAAAATTTGATAAGTCCTTTCCTTCCCGCCTCACCCAAGCCCCCATCCCAGTTTCATCCCCTAACTGTGTAGTTGCTAATAAAAAATGCGATTCTGTTAATTACTGTTTCCATCATGTTTTTTTAGGGGAGAGTGTGTTTGAAGGTGGGGAAGGGGGTTGGAAATTGGAGAGGACAGTCACCTTTACTAGGGTACAGACACAGGGGCAGGTTCAGCAGCAGGTCACACACACATTGCAGGCACCCTGGTCAGTCTGGGAGGTGGTTTTCATTTTCTGTGTGGGGGGCGGAACATGTGACTTTCTGGCGGGGGAGGGTGTTTAGAGATCTTATGCAGCGGTCCTTATCCTGGATCAGAGAGCCACGCAGCAGGGGATCTGTAACTGTCCTCCCCCTGCCACAAAGTCACATAGCCCCCACACACAGAGTCCCGAACAGGAGGGGTGGCAGGCTCCGTTGAAACAACCAGTCCACCAGTGCAGACCACTCTAGAAGCAGAAGCCTGTCATTCCTCGAGTTTAGAAGCGTCCTTTGCATCACTACACTACACCCGCTCCCCACCACAGTCTGCGTCCCAGTTTCAACACTTTACTGCAAAAACAGTAATAAAGAAAACCGTGTTCATTAACAAATTTCCAGTGATTTTATTTTTAAACGTGTGTTGGAAGGGGGTGAACGGGGTATGAAACTGGAGAGGATAGTGAACATTCACTGGGTAAAGAAACGAGTGGCAGGTTCAGCTTCTCTGTAAACAAATGTAATAGTCACAGGTTACCCTGCTCACTGAGGAACTTTGCTTTCAAAGCCTCCCGGATGCACAGCGCGTCCCGCTGGGCTCTTCTAATCGCACGGCTGTCTGGCTGGGCGTAATCAGCAGCCAGGCTATTTGCCTCAACCTCCCACCCCGCCATAAAGGTCTCCCCCTTGCTCTCGCAGAGATTGTGGAGCACACAGCAAGCTGCAATAACAATAGAGATATTGGTTTCGCTGAGATCAGAGCGAGTCAGTAAGCTTCTCCATCTCCCCTTGAGATGTCCAAAAGCACACTCCACCACCATTCTGCACTTGCTCAGCCGGTAGTTGAAGAGTTCTTTTTCACTGTCCAGGGCGCCTGTATAGGACTTCGTGAGCCAGGGCATTAGCGGGTAGGCTGGGTCCCCGAGGATCACTATAGGCATCTCCACATCCCCAACAGTTATTTTGTGGTCCGGGAAGTAAATACCTTCCTGCAGCCGTCTAAACAGACCAGAGTTCCTGAAAACACGAGCGTCACGAACCTTGCCCGACCATCTGACGT